ATGAGCTCACAGAGACTGAAACAGAAAGCACAGAGGCTACATGGGTCTGCACCAGGTCCTCTGCATGTATATTATGGCTTTTAACTTAATATTTTTGTGGGACTCCTTAGTGTATGAATGAATGGGTCTCTGATTCTTGTGCCTGTTCCTGAGGTTGCCTTATTCAGCCTCAATGTGTTGTTTTTTTGCTTTATCTTGTTATATTTTATTTTGTCATGTTAAAAACAAACAAACAAACAAAGAAATAAAGTAAAAAAGAACTATTCAGAGCCAACAAGATATAGAAGAACATTTTAATAGATCAGTAGATGAACAAAATGTGGCAATTATGTTGAAGAATACTGCACAGTTATAAAAAGAATGATGTAATGACATGCTATAATGTGAATGAAACTTAAAAGCATGCAAAGTGAAAGAAAATCTCTCTCTCTCTCCCTCTGTCTCTCTGTATGTGTGTGTGTGTGTGTGTGGGACGGTGATGGCAGATGCATGAAATAGAAAGTAGATTAGTGAATTCCTGGAGCTGTGTGTAAACATGGATTGATTGAGTTGAATACAGTGGTAGAGAAGGTCTAAAATTTTGTGGTAAAGATGTTTGCACAGCTGGCGAGTTTCTAAAAAAATTAACAAAGTGCATATATAACATGAGTAAATTTTACATCAAATAAATGTATGAAACACAACTAATATGTGTAATAATGAGGTTTGTGGCAATGAATAGTTTGTGGTACCATGAAACAGGTATGGAGCCTGGATGGAGGGAGAGTATTTACTTGTAAGCGTAGTGTAAGCCAAGTAGCCTGGTAAATTATTTGGAACTGCATACAAATTTACACATTTAAATTTTACTCACCTATAATTTAAAAATAGTTAAATATTTTAAGAGTTAATATGCATTATAGTTGGTATACACACATATGCATGTACATTTACTGGATAATCAATTATGTATTTTAAAATGGAAACAAAAATCTGTATAGAGTGGACCCTAGTATCATAACACCAAGCAGTATACTATATAAGATGAAACTAGTTTTTCTCAATCAATTATTTTATTAATTTTTCCATGACCCTTCCAGTGTGAGACTATTACTACTGCATAGGAAAGCTTATTCAAATACAGACTGGTTTGTGCATATGAACAGCCGTCCTCTATAGTTTAAACCAGAATTCTTACAACCTCACAACAGCTTCTTTGAAACAAACAAAATAAAGTAAAATATCTAACAAATGCAAATAGAAACAAACATTCGAGCAAAGAAAATCATACCTGATACATTTAGCTACATATGTCATAGAGGATAGAAATGGTAGATGAGGCCATGTCTGGCTCAAGAGATTTGATCTTTCTCTAGTAGGCTCATTTTTTCTTTCTCAAGGACACTCCTCCTCATTGCACCCAATTTTGAAAGCTTTCATCAGAAGCTTTCTTGGGCAGAATGGGACTGGAGTAGTTACAGGATATTTGAATCTCAAAATACAGAATAACTTGAAAATCACCTTGTAAAGGTTTATTTTACAGAAAATGAATCTCAAGGGGGAGTAAATGGAATGTGGTAAGACAAAGTGTCCTGTAGAGAACTTAAAAGTAACGATTATCAGAGTTTCAAGCACTAAACATTAAAATCACCACAAACATGACCTGAGCTGATAGAAACAAACAACTTTTTGTTGAGCACGCTATCCAGTTGCAAGAAATAGTATATTGCCTCTGAGAAAGCCAGTCTGGTGAAGCGTGAGGAAAACTTGACCTCCAGAGTAGGTTTCTCCATGCTCAAGGACACAGTGGATAGAAAGTGAAGAGCATCCTTTTCTGACAATATTTCCTAAAAACAACGTGAGCTCAGAGAGCAGGACTGAAATATTTTTGTTTGTTTACTGTTTGAGAAAACATTCTGAAATTAACCTAAGCAAATGCAATAAAACAGAAATAGTGAGAAGAAAAGATTGACAAAACAACCTTTTGTATATTTAAGGGTATTTAAAAATTCTATTTAAGGAAGTTTGTTACTAGAAGACCTATATTAGTAAAATCTGGATATAAATACATACACATATATTGATGTGTATGTGTTGAACATGTGAAACTGAAGGGTCAAAAGAGGCCAGAACATACTATTGAAATTCTCAGTAACATTTAAGTATGACATTTGCATCTGTTAGTGCTGAAACAGCTGTGCAGGCAAACACTACTTTTATTCCTCTGCTTATTTTTTTTTCTCATTTTTAAGGGTAAATCTGAGCTCAAACCAGATTTTACATCAGGATCCTCTCAAGAGGTGAAAGTTAAAACACATTGCTAGGTAGTTCTTCCTGATGATTAGTGTGAATACGATGTTTCTCAATTGTGAACAGAGAATACACTTGTTTCTTGGGATTTTGTGTGGTACTTTTCCTCATAAAATGATGAGTTTGCACAGAATATTTCTTCATTAGATGCAAAATGGCTAATAGGTTTGTTCAGAATGTTGTGGGGTGTGTTTATAATTGGCCCTGATGAGCAGTGATGGTTTTGTGTTTGCAGTAGGATTGATTTAGCCCATGGGCATTATTACCTATGATTTGCCTCCATTTTGTCTGATGTGTGCTGATTTGTGTGATGATTCCCTCTGGATTTGTGGTTGTGTATATTAACCTGAAAGAGTATGAAACTATTTTTGGCTAATCTTCCTCAGAGAGTTGATCAATTTTTCTAGAGCATTCTTATTCTTGTTAACTGTAGGGCATTCTTCCTACCATATGAAAAACTTGTGTACTTCTTCAATTAACTAGGTTTAA